ACATACAACAGAATATTGAGACAGTATTATTTTTTAAATGCATCACCTACGCAGGCGATCCTTGGGAACCTTCGGCTTGTTAGGGATTGCTGCTGGCATGTTACACCTTCAGTACACTGGATTGTGTGGACGAAACTCGATTATTTACATACCACCATCGTATAGCTGGGATGAACAACGGCGTTAAACAACAAATCAAACGAACACCTTCGGGGTGAATCCTGTATTTTAAAACCAGGATCATAGCATCCTTGGGAACTCAATTCTACAGAGGTAATTTGCTGGGCCGAGACTACAGTCACAATGTTTTATGAATGTAACACTTTCCAAACCACTTTAAGGGAATGAATATTTGAATGACAGATCATCCTCCCTTGTGAGAATGCTAAAAGGTACACTCACTTGTCGGAATGTCTTACCCTCAAATTGCATCCTGATGTTAGGAATGAGGAAGTACAGCATTTGATACGTCATTTTTGTTCAGTAAAAGTAGATGCTATTTGCGTTCAGTTTGGTCAAATTGTCCCAAACCGCTGGATATAGATATGTAACTACATCTGCAGTATTAATAAATGCCCTAGTGGTGTAACGATTCATCAATAGTATCGATGTTTGCATCGTCAACTAAGCGATACGTGTGCATCGATACAAAACACATTTAGGAAATATATCAGGATATTTATATCGCAAGGGTCTATGATACATCGATGTATCGCCACAAGAGACGAATCCCGATACTACTAACATAATTTACCAAGAAACCTAAAAAAAAGATAGAGAGAGAGAACGCCTACCAGATGGAATGTTAGCGACTGAGCTCATTTTGGTGCAAGGGAGGTAACTCTAAATTGATTATCAATCGTGATTTTCCGACTCGGTCCGGTTATTGACTCGGAGACGTGCGCACAAAAAGCCCGGCGCAAAGATGGCAGACGACACGATAGAAATAGTCGATCCACCAGCTATATTCAAAGCTCGAGTTTGGGCGAGGTTTGGGTTTGCGGGTAAGAAATCTGAAGATGGAAAGATTACTACCGACAGAAAGCACGTTGTATGCAAGATCTGTAAGTCTCACCTGAAATACAGCGGAAATACAACAAATCTTCACACTCATCTTTTTAGTCACCATCCCGACGCTGTGAAAAGTTTAGAAATTCCAAATGTTCGTGCTAACGCATCGTGTAAATCAAAAGCAGGTACCATTCAATCAACATTAAAAACGGCCTCCTCAAGTGTGAATAAGAAACTTGATGTACCACAAACCACCAACATTACGGACGCAATTGCCAAGTTCATAATCAAAGATCTACGGCCGTACTCTGTTGTTGAAAATGAAGGTTTTGTTCATTTGATCAGAACTTTGGAACCAAAATATAAACTCCCCTCACGGCAACATTTCTCTGAAAATGTTGTGCCAGCTCTGTATGAGGACGTAAAAACAGCCCTTATTACACTGATGGATGGTGCCATGTTTGTTGGGATAACAACTGATGGCTGGACGTCGAGATCAAATGAATCAGTTGTTACTTTCACAGCACACTTCCTTGATAAGGAATGGCAATTACACAATTCTGTCCTCCAAACACGAACAATGTCCGACAGTCACACAGGTGCAAATTTGGCCAAACTTGTCTACAATGTCCTAGAAGAATGGCACATTCCTCCCAACAAAGTCGCTGCTGTGACTACTGACAACGCTTCCAACATGGTAGTTATGGTGAGGGAAACAAATTTGACACACGTTAAGTGTTTTGCCTATACCCTCAATCTCGCCTCCCAGAAGGTTCTGAAAGTGTCTACAGCCAGCCGGGTCCTTGGCATTATTAGGCGGATAGTGAGTTACTTTCACAAAAGCCCGAAAGCCTTTGCTATTTTGAAAGAAAAGCAACAACTTCTGAACCTTCCAAGACATAAATTGAAAAATGATATTGTTACAAGGTGGAACAGTTCTTAGGAAATGGTAGACAGATACCTTGAGCAACAGCCAGCGATTCAAGCAACACTCCTGACGAAGGATTTAAGGAAAGCTGGTGATACACATCTACCAACGAGCCTCAATGAAGTAGGCATGTCAATAGCCGAAGATATTGTGCAGGTATGTTCATTACTGTTTAACCTATGATGCAAGAAAATATGATAGTTAAGCATTATTAGAAATAGATACATGTGACTTGTAAAGAGAAATAAGAATCAAGTTTGTATTAAGCAATAGGCTGTTTCTATATAACCTGGTAACTATTTCTCTTTACAAATTACAAGTGACATTTGTTTCATTTCATGTTAATTTGTTCATATTTTCTTGTATCTGTAATCTGTAATAATTTCATCTAATGAATAATGATCAAGATTTTAATTTTTATTCATGACATTCTTTGCAATAAGTATATGATGTAAATTTTAATGTCCATCCACCAGATGAGAAACACAAATTTTGTCTTAAATCAACTTAGTCTAATAGACTCAGTCATTACTATAGTCTGTGTTTAGTCTGATTACATCATGGGATTATGAATTTATGATTGTGATGATATGATGTTATGTTTTGAAACCTGATTGTATCTATTTATGAAATTATTTTTTCTTTAGGTGTTGAGAAATCTGAATCAAGCAATGTTTATTTATTCTTGATTGAATTGTTTCAGGTGACTGTGAAGCAGGAGACAGATGATAAAACTGCAGCAGTACCAGCACGCCCTCTTCTCCCTGATCTTCCTCCTGTGGAATCTCCTCAACCTGAGTCACCTACCCAGACCGACTCTGACACATCACCCCCCAGAGCCAAGGTGATCAAACTAGAGCCTTCCGGATCTTCTGGATCGTCCAAGTGTGCCCTGGATGACTTTCTCGGGGATGTTTACATTATTGGTCAGGTGGATGTGCCTTCAAGGTCAAAGCTAGACATTGTCAATGAGGAAATAAACATGTATAGAAAATCTCCTTCTCTCCAACTTTCTTCCAACACAATAAGTTGGTGGCAGGAAAATAATATCTACTATCCATATCTGTCAAAACTTGCTAGGAAATATCTGTGCATCCCAGGGACCTCGGTCTATCAGAGAGAGTCTTCTCCACCTCCGGGGACATTGTGACTGCACAAAGAGCTTCACTGAAAGCTGCTCATGTTGACAGACTTGTGTTTTTGAAGAAAAATCTCAAGATGTAAATGGCGTCTCTTAAATGGCATGTGTTTGACGAAGTCAGTTCACTTAAATAATAGTTCTTTTTCTTTGAGACAATGCTAACATTGTGGACTTAATGAAGACATTCTTAGTGTGAATTAGTTAGATCTGTCTGCTGTAAAACTATTAACAGATAAAGTTTCAGCTATTTATCTATCATATCTGTTCTGTTTTTAGAAATTGTAAAATATCGGGATACGTATCGTATCGCCACCACTGTATCGTGATGATAATCGTCTCGCAGGTTTCTTGCCAATACGTTCATGATATATCGTCTCGTCTCATTAAACTGGCATCGGGATATATCGTCTCGCCACTTAGGCCACGATACACAGCTCTAATTAATGCCCCTAGGCTCAAGGAAAGAAGCATTCCCTTACGTTTTAATAAGGGATAGTGATAACAGATTACTTGCAGGTGGGGCAGCCAAGTGGCTAATCCGTGAGCTCGTCATGCCAAAGACCCGGGTTCACATTGGTAAATATGTGAAGCTCATTTCTGGTGTCACTCACTGTGGTATTGCTAGTGCTTACAACCATACTCACTAATTCACTTTCACATACGTGTTGTTTCAGGCCCTGGCTGGAGCTTGCTCGGACCACACATGTGGCAAGAAGAAGAAGTGTGAGCCCCGAACTCCTGCTGGCTACCGCTGTGTCTAGACACTGTCTGAGTTACAAAGACTCATAGACTTTTACATGTAAGCGAGTTCAATCTCCAAATAGTTTTCCGACTTTCAGAAAGTGGCGAAATAAATTCTTTTTTTTTTACTTTTCTTCTTGTTGTTTGATCATTTAGCGCTATTATAGACCCTTAAGGGCTGGACTGGCTGATTGGTTGTTGTTTAATGCCGCATTATGGGACCATCAAGGCTGGATTGGTTGGCTGTTTTTTCTTTAATGCCGCATTACAGACCCACCAGGACTCTATTGGCTGGTTGGTTGTTGTTTTATGACGCATTATGGACCCACCAAGGCTGGTTTCGTTAGCTGTTTTGTATTCAGTGCTGCATTATAAACCTATTCACAATAGATAATGAAGCAATAATCTAGTTTAGAGTGAACCAATGCTCTGTACAGGCGAAAGAGGGCAGTTTGATCCCCTCTCCATTCTGTATTTGAAACGACTTTAGCAAGTCAAGAGCCTTCAAGCACTTTGTATTCAAATATTTTATGTGTGGTAAGAATGACGGTTGAATATGAGTCCCAAGAATTTGGCCTCTTCTACTACTTTGATGGGAGTACCTTCTAAAGATAGGTCTGGATCCTTGTGTGGTTTGTATTAAAAACAATAATATATGCAATTTGTTTTGGATTTTGAAAACTTGAACCAATATCCGTTAGCCCATTTTTTGATTTTGTTAAGGCAGAGTTGTAGATGCCTTTCTATTGCTTGCATGTTCTTACCACAGCATGAAATATTGAAATCATCCACGAAGAGGGACCCATCAACATAACTGTTCATGACGTTAGTGAGGCTGTTAATTTTGAAGTGTAACAGACAGAATGCTGCCTTCAGGGAAGCCCTGATCTTGGTGGAAATAATAAGACAATGTAAAGCCCACCAATTCTAAGCCAGACCTTCACGGGTGACCTGGTAGTGGATAAAATAGCACACTGGAAGATGCAGAAATAACAAATCAAACACACGCGTGTTCATGCTGAAAACACATATATTTATTTCGGCTTTGACATGCATCACATACTACAGCGAGGGGCAAATACAAGGATCATTATATACACAACAGTATCCACAGACTGGAATGTTCAGCGTTTCGTCCAGTAATTATACACAAGAATGACTGCTGGTTTGGGGTGTCCTAATATACCAATATTAAGGGGATACAGGGATCTGCTATTTATGAGGAAAACTGTTACGACAGCCAACATCAACAGCGCTTTTTGTTCGTTCTTGAATTCTCGCTCGAGGAGGTTACGCTGAACATTAACCTCTGTGGTGGCATAGTAAATAATTCTGGTTACATGTTGCCACGTCTTCTCCACAGCAAAGGGATCTCTTGAAAAGAAGGATTGTCTGTCATCGTAGACTGAAAAGAACAAATGTTTGCTTGTTTAGTCCACTTGGGCGGGATGGGGTTGACTAACTTATGTATTTTCATCCTGAAAAATATTGCAAATAATTTTGCCTAAGCTACAAAATGTGAAGGGCCAGAGGCCGTATTGTTGTTGTTTTTTCTCTCTAAAAATCAAATAGTTTATACAAGATTCTTATTTTACAAAATTGTAGAATGTACAAATTAGCTGGAACATAAGTATTTTGCATTAAGATACATCTTTAAATGATATCACCTACCTCTGAACACTTTGGGCAGAAATCTGGGGGATCAAAGACAGATTCATCGAACTCTGCACCGAGGTTTGAAAAACCAGTTGATTGAAGGAAGTTGTCTGAATAAGAGTACACAGTAGGTTAGTTTTAAACCAACATCCTCTGACAACATAAATATATTCACAATTGCTGAATACGGCGTCAAAAAACAACCAAACTAAATCAAAGTAATTATCAATTATTATCTAAAAGTCGTTTTTGAGACATAAATATAAACATTGTCAACGAGTATTGCACTTCAAACTCAACAGGGAGACATCAAAATGGGCTGTGGGTCGCCAGTAACTAAGGCGAACATTCCTTAGAACCTGAAGAAGGGAGTAAAAAAACGGAATAGTTTTCATATTTAAGTAAAGGAACACAGTAACTGGTGGTGCAAGTGCTACTCACATTTATCCTTTCCGTAGAGGTCTGTTTGTAAGGGAATGCATTCTTTCGAGACAACAACGAAGCTGTCTATAACGCTGTTTGGGGTGCGGACCAAAGCCACGGTCGAGTTCATAGTAAGCTGTTGATGACAGCGAGTTACTTCCGAATCCAAGAGTGAAGTCAAAGGCTTTTTTGAATTTATCTGAAAAACAGATGACTCAATAAGTTTCTTGATATTTACCATGAAAGACAAGTTGTGAACACGTGTTGCACACAAAGGTAGTTATAATAACGTAATAGTAAATGAGTTAAATGATGGCCGCGTTTTCGCAATATTCCGTGAAAGGGTGTAGTGGCCAACACCACATTGATAAAATGCCTCAGTCAAACCTTGACACTGAAAGGATTATCATGGTACGTTGTCGACGAGTGAGTATGGCTTTACGCCGCTTATAACAATTATCCAGCAATTATTTCAGCAATATAACGGCGGGTGACACCAGCAACAGGCTTCACACATTGTGGGCAATCGAAAGCTTCACCCATTGAATACTTTCACCACAGGCAACCCCACTATGTTATGTTACAAACGTCAACTTTCTTTTTATCTTGAGTGCACAAAGAGTTGAAAGCCTAAATTGTCAACTTTTATTCGGAGAGATGTAGGGGGAGCCTATGAGTGAGTTGTAATCTCTGGAGGACTCGAATATGTCTCGAGGCCTGTTGGCACTTCATACGTACTCGTTAGTATCACACCACTGCTAACCATGGGGACCAACATCAATTCGAGTGAGGCTTTAAGACACATTGGACTCGTGTAGATCCTGCTAAAAATTGGTCTTCAGCAACACGTGCTTGTCGTAAGAGGCGACTAACGGAACTGGGTGATCAGACAGATGTCATCGTATCCCAGTTGCATCAGTTGATGCTCATGACGTTAATCAATGGACTGTCTGGTACAAAAGATGGAATATCCCTGAATGCGGCTTAAGCAACAAACAGCCTTGTAGACATCTTTTACAGTAACATATATAGAGAATACTACACGAGGTCTCATTACATACGAATTATACGAAACGAGTGTCCTTCCTATGGTATCTGACCGAGCGAAACACATAGGAAGGTCACGAGTTTCGTATAATTCGTATGTAATGAGACCGAGTGAGGTATTTTATTTATTACCCACGTCTTACATGCATTTAAATTGACAAAATAGCGTATTTTTGTTATGTTTTTGGTTTCAAACCAAAACCGGTTTCATAAACCGGTTGCGGAAGAGTTTTGTACTGTAGTACAATATTTGCATGACGTCACATTAATGACGTCACTGTCATGGTAACCGACGTCACGATGCATGTCAGTTGTCATCGCCTCGTACAGCCTCCTACAGTAAACTACTCCGTAACACCTCGTTTCTTGGTTTCCAGTTGCTTCATTCGGCTAACATCACTGGTGGAAACATTGCGTTTATGTTTTTCGACAGATATAATGTCTCAGTTCGACTCACAATTAAACAGCGACACGGCAACGTTCGCAATGTTTACATTCCCACAATGCATTTAAGTTGTAGAATGAATGAATTCACGTGTTTGTTATGAATGGAAAAATAGTTACGTCAGAATGTGACCTAATTGAGAGGTCATCGGTTATCCAATCAAATCGTTAGAATTTCAGGTCAAGTCGTTACGACACAGGTCAACGCGATACGACACTCGTGTGACGTACGAGATTAACATGCGACTACCCATACGTTGACCACGTGGGTAATAAATATTAAGTATATGATACTTACCTGTAACACAGAACTTAGCAAATGGAAGGGTTAACTTCTGGACGCGACATACACTCTTCTTTAGATCAATTGTATACAGCAGACCCTTAAACAAGACAATATAAGGAATTCAGTCAATCATAAAATATTGATCACAATTAAAACCACCACACTGTAATGTTGTCGTAAAGAAGTTCTTTTAACACTGGGCCACTATGGCTTGAATGTATACAGATGTATTTTAGATAACCGCATCTCTCCTCTGTTCGAATACTATACCATAAACTGCCAGAATCGGTTAAGTATTGTTTATATGATTGAGTGAGTGAGTATTATGCCGCTTATTCCAGCTATACCACCACGAGGGATACCAGAAAGAAATGTGGCTGATCTTAACAAAACCAAACACACCCCTTTTGAAAAGGGGGATGTGTCAGAATCTAAATAAACATTACTAGGAGGGCTAAAGTGTTAGGCGCTCATATAAACTTTTCAGGCGATCTTGTGACAGCGTCCTCTACTGGTTGCCGGGTCACGTAGGTAGAGCAGGTAACACAGGGGCCGATGTTGCAGCTAAAGCAGCTCTTGACAAGCCCTTATCTCCACTGCTGATCCCGTACAACGATTTCAAACAAACTATCAAAAGTTATATACTCGGGACCTTATGTTAAAAGGTGTGACACCTATGTAGGAAGAAATACACTTCATGAGGTGAAGCCAACCATTGGTTTTCCCCACGTGGGTTGTCAGTCAAGACGTGATGAGGTAATTTTACGACTATGTATTGGCCACAGTCGGTTTACTCATGACTATCTGCTGAAAATTGATGGGGATGGACCCCCCATGTGTGTCTCTTGCGATGGGTTGGTCACCATCAAACATATTCAGCTTGACTGTGTGGACTTTTCGACTGCCAGGAATTTACATTATGATGAGAGAAATCTGAAAGATCTGTTTTCCCGCGTGAGCGGGCATCTCAAGTGTTCACTTCCTTAGGAAAGTTGACCTGTATCATAAATTGTAACTATGTAATGTGAATAACGAATTGCGTGCTTTGGAAGTTATGACATTTTCTGTTTTAAATAACAATGTAATGAATATATATGCTTTTAAAATAAAACTCATTTGGACTTGGTACTTAAAATGCGTATTAATTCAGGCTTGAGCTCGTCACTATATGGCTGGAATAATGTCGATGCGACTTAAAACCCAACTCAACTCAACTCAACTCAACTATACTTTTCAGGCCCACGGTTGCTCTAAAGCTTTACCTACCAACCATCCTATAAAGGTATAAACAGAATACCAACCGACCTACCTAAGCAGACATATATAATGACGTTTCATTCAGTTGCAATGCTTTAATGCCAGATTGGTTGTATATATTCATGCATTTGTCTGATCGTATTTCTTTTGATAAGGAATTAACTGGACCAAATGTTCAAAAGTATTCAGGGTCGGATGCCTTGTATACTGGTAAAAGACTAATGAATCATAAAAATAGAATATATGTTCACACTCGTACATGTTTACATGGATACCGTTAGCATGTTAATCAATCATTCTAAATGTCCTTGTCTTGATAACTGAAGTGTTTCAATCAATTGTTTCTTTGACAGGATGCACATGTTATTCTTATTTGAATGTATATCACCAGGTCCGTATATTTGTAAATATGCCAAAAAATGCGAATATTATTTTTAAATCAGGGTGTGCTCCTCATTCACAAGCACGTCACATGAATATTTTAAAGTCTTTTGGGCAATGCTAACGACGTGTGAAGCAATATGATATCCCTACTTGTCAGTAAATATTGAGTTGTACTGATATATACAGGCGTGTTTCTCCATTATTGTGTTATTGTATGAACCCTAAACATATATCCTATTATTTTTAATTTAAATTTTCAACAACACAAAAAAAACTGATAATGACGAAAGTCATCACTATGGGATTTATAGCCAGGTTTTATAATGAATCGTGTATAGAAATATCATTTTGTGGTTACTTGCTAATTGTATATGTAAGTCTGTGATATTCTACTTATTTTACTGCCGTTTGATGATAGTTAAACCGTTTATTTTTTATAAGCTACATAGTTTGCAAAGTCACATTATAACTTAAAAAGGTCAGCCACGAAATACCAGTGCGAAACAGAACAAAAAGAAAGGTAAGATTAACCTTACCCCTTTGTGATCGGCAATGACTTTGGATTCCCCTTTGGTGTTGTCAAGGCTGAAGTTGCTGATGATGGCTATCCTTTCATTGGCGGCATCGTAGTATTCTATAGAACTCCCCTGAAACAAGAATTCATGGCATTGCAATAGTATCTTACAATAGTCTATCATTATCGCAATAGTTGTTTCCCCCAAGTATTTAACTAGTGTTAGAGTGTTTGAAGAGAACGTGGGGTGTGTGTGTGTGTGTGTGTGTGTGTGTGTGGTGTGGGTGTGTGTGTGTGGGGGGGGGGGTGGAGAGGTGTTTGGACGAGTAAGAGCAAGATGGTGCATTTCACGACAGAGAGTAAGTTCGTTTATTTGACGATAAGAGAAAGGATGAGTTTATTTTGCGATGGGTTGATAAACAGCATGTAACGGGAGATTGTGAGTTTGTGCATACGATGGGGGAGAGCTTGAAGACGAGAGAAAGAGAAAGAGTGCATTTTACGAGAGATAGAAAATATATTACTCGAGCGAAGGATACTGCGATTGACGAGAAAGACAGTAAGATGTTGCGTTTGTCAAGGGAGAGTAAAGAGTGGAATTAATGAGAGAGAGAGAGTCCATTTATCGAGAGAGTTTACTTACGGCATCAACGAAGGGAACATTCACCCCCTCTACTTTTGACAGAGCAAGACCAGCGGAGAATCTCTGGGCAAACCACTTATCAGGGGCACAGCAGACCTTTGCCCCTCCCACACAAGTGGACAACACGGACAGCAGGATTATGTACCCCAACATGTTTCCAATGTTTCCAGGTGATCGCCAAATGTGTGGTGCGAGCCGAGGTTCTCTACCTTATAAGCAATAACACCCTCTGGGGTTGGGGGGAGGAATCTAATATTAATCCGCTTTTATTAGATAAAACGGCTACCGACTGCTTTTAAAAACAACTTAATTAAACAGTTACTGTTGATACATTAAAGCTCATTCATGGCAATCTTACGGCTGGATTATGAATAACCAACAGCCTATAATTTGTAATTTATATTTGATACAAAATATAGTAATATCCACAGATTTTAATAAGTACGTATCATTGAATGCAACAAACAACAAACAACAATCAATTAGTACTTTTCTTTCTCAAAAAGAGCTGTGCATGGGAAAACGGCACCCATCACTGGATGCATTTGAAAATGTTGATTTGTAATTAATAAATTGTGTTTTAATTGAATGTAGTCTTCTTGATCAATTATTCGGTTTCTGTAGTTTTTTAATGTTTAATGAAACGGTGGGTTTATTAACTGCAGTGATAATGCGAGCTTTCTGAAAAAACATATTGGACACTTTCGTAGTAGTAATAGTATTAATAGAGCATTAATAAAGCGCATATTTCTATGCATAATGCATGCCCAAAGCGCATATGTTAGGATGAGAAGGCTGTTTGGAAAAGGTAAGCCTTATGTGCGGTTTGAAAGGTTGAAAGTTCTTTTATTTCTCTAAAATGTTGTGTCTTCATTAATCCATGCTTGTAAGAGGCGACTAACGTGATCGGGTGGTCAGGCTCGCTGACTTGGTTGACACATGTCATCAGTTCCCAATTGCGCAGATCGATGCTCTTGATCACGTCAGTGTCTGGTCAAGACTGTATTATTTACAAACCGCCGCCAAATAGTTGGAATATTGCTGAGTGCGGCATTAAACTAAACTCACTCACTCACTAAAATGGTGTGGAAGATGATTCCACTCTGAGGGTTGTAGCAGAAAAGAAAGTTTTTTGACCAAATTTAACTGTTCTGACTTTAGCAATGCACAGAAGATTATGTGTCTTGGAGCGGAGGGAAGTAGTGTGCAACGTCACCCTGGGCCCTTTTTCAAGATGGCGGCACATCCGGTCCCCCTGGGCGCCGCCATCTTGGATCCGGTCACTTCCGGTCAGGGGGAGATCACTCGGGTTCCGGTTCCGGTGCTTCCGGTTCCGGTGTGTGCGCACGCATCGCGATAACGTCACGTCCGGTTCCGGTGGTTGCGCGCGCATGACGATGACGTCACCTCCGGGCCAAGATGGCGGACGCGTTTCAAGATGGCGTCCCCTCCGGTGGGATCGCGTGAGATCTCGCGGGATCTCGTGGAGTCTCGCGGGATCTCGCGAGCGTAGACGCCTTTCAAGATGGCGGAACGGACGAGCGGCGGACGGGACGGGACGGGACGGAGAGGGAAGGAGAGGGAGAGGAAAGGAGAGGAAAGGAGGGAGGGAGGGAGAGAGGGGGTGAGGCGGACACGATGGCGTGGCTAGACAAGTGTGTGTGTGTGTGTGTGTGTGTGGTTAAAACACATTGGATGGAGCCTTCTTTCGAGCGAGGTGGGTGGCCCTGAAAAGGGCCGTTGGTATGGGTGGGTGAGAGATCACCGAGGTATCTATGGTGGTGATGGTGGTGCACTGGAGGCAGTGCTGCTGGAATCGTCCATGGGTTCGACAAACTCCAAGATGCGTTGAAGTAGAGAGTACATGGTGTCTATGCGATCTTGAACGAGGAGGACCTTGTCATGGAGTAGAGCCAGTAGATGTTGGCTTTCACGTTTACTCACTTTCTTTGGCGGTTCACTTGGCTGGTAGGTGGATGCCGGACGTTTCTGGCCCTTGTTAGAGCAGTTCATACTCTTATGGTCCTCTTGACCACAGTGACGACAGGGATGTGGACAGACGTAACTGAGATGACCTTCGTTTTTTCCACAGTTGTAGCAGGTGTTGTTATCGTGCTTGTTGTTGTCCTTGGTCTTCTTGGGACATACGTAATAGCGATGACCTTGAGCACCACACTCGGTACAAGTCACCTTGGGACAGTGTAGATAACTGTGGTCATCTGTTTCGCACAGGCGGCAACGGAAGGAGGCGGAGGCGGGAGGCGACTGCATGCTTCCAGTTTAAGTGAGCAACTGATGAGGAGTGCTGGAAAACCTTGAATTTATATAGCTGGGGTTGATGACGTCACTTTGACGCATCCGGTTCGCACCGGTTGCATCCGGTTCGCACCACTCTCATCCTGACTCAACAGGCTAGTGTGACGTCATGGGGTATGACATCATTCCTATAAATAACACATGAGCTCATGGTGCGCACTGCTACGCTTAGGACAACCTATTGTGACGTCATAGGGTGACGTGACCTATATAAACCAGTCTCAGCGTGGGTCTTACCAGTTCTCACCATGCCGTCACCACAAATGAACGAAGATGAACTTGAAGAGGAGCCTGTGCCCTACGAGTTGGAGCGGACGACCCAAAGAACAACCAAGAAATTCCGGACTGGTACCCAGCGCTACAATCTGAAGTTCAATCCAGCTTGGCTGCAGCGTCAACAGCCTGAAGACCTTCCCGTCGTTCTCAGAGAACAGTTTGATGCCGTGTTAGCAGATCTGAGAGACGATGTGGGCGGACAGGATGGCGATCGTGTGGGATTGGCCCTGGAACACCCCGCCCTGGATTCAGACATCCGAATTCCATTTCAGCGCATGGAGGACCTCCAGGGGGAACACATCATGGCCCAAGTGGAAAAAGTACAACAAAGCAACCACGACTTACATATCGATGACACCATGGACATTTTCTTACTGCATGTAGAGGATCCTGATCGTATCGGTGAGGGACACGGCCGGCCAACACACCTCGTTGGCTTAAACGCTTTCCTGGAAAAGAAACAATGCATCGTCCAAATCAAGAATGAGGATCAGCTCTGCTTTGCCCGTGCCCTGGTCGTGGCCAGTCACCATTCACACAAACCCGATCCTGTGACCAAGGAATGGACGAAGGAATGGCGGTACATACGTAAGAAAGAAAGACCAGCGCAGTTGAAGGCTGCCAAGGGCTTGTTTCGCCAACTCAAGATCCCCGAAGGTCCTTGTACAGGGCGTGCCACGTGGGAGTTGTTCAGTCAACGTTTGGCCCCTTACTATCAGCTCAAAGTCTACTCCCAAGAGGTGTTGAATCGCCTCCTGTACAAGAGTGAAGTGGCTCAACCCACCAAGATCCTTCACCTCTATCATCACCATCACCATTACGATGTCATTACCTCCATGACTGCCTTCACAGGTTATCCCTACTATTGTGAAACGTGTGACCAAGGCTACGCCCACGCTGAAGATCATCGCTGCACCCAAGAATTTCAATGCCAATGGTGCCAATGTCTTGGATACTGTGGCGACGTGGTCAGTGAAGGGCTCTCCTGTCTCCAATGTGGCGGGTGGTTCCAAAACCCTACCTGCTTTGAACGCCATCGGACGGACGGCCTCCGCCAAGCATCCCAGCACCTGCTCCACCATCCATACGTGTCATCGTTGCTATGCCAAAGTCAACGTGAGAAAAATCCAGGGCATGGCCAACCACCAGTGTGGCACGAATTGGGACTGTAAGATCTGCAAAGAACCCTTGAAACCCAACCACCAGTGTTACATGTCCGTCATCGAACCACCGAAACAAAATGAAGACGGTGAAAAAAATGGATGAAGACAAAGAACGGCAACAGCGTCAGTTCATCTTCTATGACTTTGAATGTACTCAAGATCAAGGAACTCATGTTCCCAACTTGTGTGTGGTGCATCTAGGATGTGGAAAATGTATTTCCGAGGCCTCGGATCAGCTGTGTGACAAGTGCCCCTGGCGTAAGGAAGGAGAAGGGCCTAGTCGCATCAAAGTGTTTCGGGGATCGACGACCTTGAAGGACATGGGCGACTGGTTGATGTCCCTGGCGGAAAAGAAAGAGAAGCAGAAGAAGAAACGCAAGGCATCCCAGCAGCAGCCGTCAGGCCGTGCCTCCCAAACAACCCAAACGGTCATCACCAGAACCCGATGATGATGATGATGTAGAACAAGGCAACAACGACAAAGAACAAGACGACGAAGACGACATTTCCCCTACCCTCGATGATGACGACGTGTTGGTCATTGCTCACAACTACCGTGGGTATGATGGTCACTTGCTCGAACAGTACTTTCATCAACATCTCGTGAAAGCACCCCAGGTCACACTACGTGGGTATCACATCTTGCAGATGACCGTGGGACGTCTTGTTTTCAAGGATTCCCTCAACTTCCTCACGATGGCTCTGAAGCAATTTCCAAAAACGTTTGCATTGACGGAACTCAAGAAAGGCTACTTCCCTCACTTCTTCAACACCGAAGCTCACCAAGGCTATGTGGGCCCATATCCTCCCGTGTCTACTTACGATCCTGACAGCATGTTTTCTGCCGAACGCAAAGCTTTCTTGGCCTGGTACGATGCACGGGTGGCTGAAGGGACTGTCTTTGATCTGGATGAAGAATTGTTGACTTACTGTCAGAGTGATGTGGACATTTTGCGTCGAGGCTGTGCTGCATTCCGCAACATATTCATCCAACAGAACAACGTGGACCCTTTCTATGAAGCAGTGACTCTACCCATGGCTTGCATGCTCACCTTCCGAAAACAGTTTTTGGAACCCCACACCATCGCCATCCTACCTACTCAAGGTTATCGTCCCCAGCGTCGCTACTCGCTTCAGTGTCTCCACTGGCTCAACTGGGTCATGCATCAACACCCTGGGGTTCACATCCAACATGCTCGGAATGGTGGAGAAGTAGGCTTTGACTGTGCTGACGGAAGTCGTTACATGGCAGATGGCTACGACACCAAGACACGCACCGTGTACGAATACTTGGGCTGTTTCTGGCATGGCTGTACTCGCTGTTACAAGACGGACCGATGTGAACGCCATACTAGCTTGGGTACCACCCCTTGGGAACGATACCATCATACCATGTACCGACTGGGTGTGTTACGCCAACATCCCGGCATCGGCCAAGTGGTGACCCTCTGGGAATG